TTTGAAATATTGTTGGAGTATTTTTTATCTTTCGTCGAAAATCTCCCTGTATGGGGACAGGCCCGACTTAAGCTCAGGAGGCAGCAGCTCGCGAGCCCCCCCCCCCCCCGAGGCAGCCGACGCCGCAGCCCCCCTGGACGACAGGGAGCCGCTGCCCCCCGGAGGCCGTCGACGAGGTCGCGGCCGCGGGAGGCGGCAAGAGAGAGCTCGTGGAGAGCTTCGCAGAGTGGGGGGGCGAAGGTCAAGCGTTAAGTCGGGCCTGTCCCCCTACAGGGGGCTTTCTACGAAAAAGTTATACAAAAAATATTCCAAAAATTATATGGGGACTATGTTTGGAGTATGTGTTGACCTTCTTGGGGTATTTTGGGGGTATTTCTTATTTTTCCCCCCGTAGGGGGACACGCCCGACAGAAGTCAAGCGTCCTCGGCAGGCCGCAGCGGCGGCCCCTCGATGATGTCATGATGTGCTGGTTGGCCCTTTTCTCCGCCATGACGTCTGCGATCGACATCACCACCGTCGGGTGGCCCTCTCGTGGAGCACCTGGCGTCCTGTACCAGCATGTGTCCCGCGGTGCAGGAGCACCACGCCCATGAGGCGGGCACTCGTAAGGCCAGGTTGGCCTGGTTCCAGCACGACGCGTTGAATGCAGGCTACCACGGCGTGTGGGGAGCGGCCGTCCCGGGGCAAGATTCTGGAACGCAAGGTGGCGTCGCCATCTTGGCGCCCAGGCGCGTGGTGGGCCACTGCGCCGCCCGCGTTGCCGTCAAGCCGGGCAAGGGCTGCTAAATCCGTGGCTGCCAAAATCGACCTCCGGGAAAATGTCTTCGCCCTTCCGGGAAATAAACCCGTTGACTGTTTCGCGTGCCGCACCTCATTCCAGGAAGTTGTTTTTTCCTTCCGGGAGGGCCGTTTTAGCAACCACGGCTTTAGCAGCCCTCGCCCAGCTTTCGAGTCACCGTCACTGGTGGCAGGGCGCAAGGCAGCGGCACGCGTCCGCTGCGGGGTCCGCGGCGGATTCGTCATGCACAGCTGCCTGCTTCCGCGCAGATGCGGTCCCGTCGCCCGAGAACCTGGCCAGGTTGTTTTGAAGGGGAACTGGGGCACGCAAAAAAATTACCCTGCGACGTACCCAACCCACGTGCATCAAATGGCAAGAGGAGTATGCCAACATTAGCAGGAACAACGACAGTGTAGACGCGGCGATTTGCTGTGCAAGCTACATGGGATGCGCACGCGCTGCACGATTCACAGGACGACGATCGGAAGAACGAGGCTTGAGGCCCCAGGATCGAAGAAGAACGGGTACGGGAACGAGGGGTAGGAGAGGGATGGAATGGAGGGCGGGGGGGGCGAAAGGCCATCGCGGAAGCAGCAGCATGCATGGAGAAGGTGAGGCGGGGAATAGGACGACGATGAAAGTGGCGGGAGGAGACAGAAGACTGCCGCGTTTTTCAAGTGCGAGCTAACCCGCAGCGCTGCCTGCGCCATGTCGTCGCAGAGTTCCACATGATAAAACTTGTTTAGAGTGCAAGGAACGAGCGAGGCGTAGCTCGCCCGCTAGCTTCTCCGCCTCCTTCCCGCACATTTCAGCGCGGGAGCTGAACGCTCGCAGGCGCGCCGCCAGGTCTGCGGGCGGCCCGCGGGAAAGAAACTCAAGGCCGGGGTCGCGTCTCATCAATCGGTTGTCCATCGTCCAAAGTTGCACTGGCGACGTACTGGTTGAACGCGGAGCGAGCAGCATCACGCGCGTGCCTGAACGCCACGCAGGTACAGTGCACGCGCGATTGGGACTTCAGGTCGATCACGCGCGTCTCCACCAGGCTTGGCAACACCACGCAACTGAGGATCTCACTGCGGTCTGCCATGCTGCTGTCCGCGAATGCAATGCGCTGCCTGGAAGTAAGGCGGCGGCGTCCACTTGTCTCAGAAGATGTTCCCGCGGCCCGACGGGCGACCGCCAGCTCGAGCCGCGGCGCCGGCAGGCCAGATAAGGATCATGCAACAGCAAAGACGATGACAGAGCAACGAGGTATCGGCGAGTTCATGACCGGCCTCCGTTTCCTGCACTTCTTTCCTGTAGTTCCCCTAGCTCATCGAGCTCAGCAGATGTTTCTGCGGGTCCGAATGACGACCGCCAGCTCGAGTCGCAGCGCCGACGAGCTGCATCCACATCAGGCAACACCCCAGGAGACACTGGCACACAACGATTTGACGTCAGTCAGTGCCAAACCACTCCATGTCTAGTTCCTCGCACACATACAGTCGATCGCAGATGCGGGATAATCAAAGTAGAATGACGGGTCCAATCTGCGTCCGCGTAGGACGTCACTATGCTGGACCCCGCAGCAGGTCTCGAAAGTGGCGACAGTTTCGTGGGCCCCACAGCAGCCCTCGAAAGTGGCGACAGTTTCACAGATCGTAGCCCCCCAGCGCTGGCGACGTCTAATCTGAGTCCCCGTAGGACGTCGCTCCGCTGGCCCCCCAAGCAGCCTTCGAAAGTGGCGACAGTTTCACAGATCGCAGCCCCCCAGGGATGGCTAGGTCTAATGTGAATCTGCGCGTGGCGTCACTGTGCTGCCCCCCCCCCCCCAGCAGGCCTCGAAAGTGGCGACAGTTTCACAGATCGCAGCCACCCAGGGATGGCGAGGTCTAATTTGAATCCGCCGCGGGTGCAGACTGTGCTGGGCCCCCCAGCAGCCCTCGAAAGTGGCGACAGTTTCACAGATCGCAGCCCCCCAGGGATGGCGAGGTCTAATCTGAGTCCCCGTAGGGCGTCACTCCGCTGGGCTCCCCAGCATCCCTCGAAAGCGGCGACAGTTGCACAGTTCGCAGCCCCCCAAGGATGGCGAGGTCTAGTCTGAATCCCCGTAGGGCGTCACTCCGCTGGGCCCACCAGCAGCCTCGAAAGTGGCGACAGTTTCACAGATCGCAGCCCCCCAGGGATGGCGAGGTCTAATCTGAATCCCCGTAGGGCGTCACTCCGCTGGGCCCCCCAGCAGGCCTCGAAAGTGGCGACAGTTTCACAGATCGCAGCCCCCCAGGGATGGCGAGGTCTAATCTGATCCCCGATAGGGCGTCACTCCGCTGGGCCCCCCAGCAGCCTCGAAAGTGGCGACAGTTTCACAGATCGCAGCCCCCCAGGGATGGCGAGGTCTAATCTGAATCCCCGTAGGGCGTCACTCCGCTGGGCCCCCCAGCAGCCTCGAAAGTGGCGACAGTTTCACAGATCGCAGCCCCCCAGGGATGGCGAGGTCTAATCTGAATCCCCGTAGGGCGTCACTCCGCTGGGCCCCCCAGCAGGCCTCGAAAGTGGCGACAGTTTCACAGATCGCAGCCCCCCAGGGATGGCGAGGTCTAATCTGAATCCCCGTAGGGCGTCACTCCGCTGGGCCCCCCAGCAGCCCTCGAAGCGTTGGCGACCGCAGGCGGGAGGAGGCGGGAAGGAAGGAAGGAAGGAAGGAAGGAAGGAAGGAAGGTGGAGACCGCAGTGCTCTATTCAAAACGAGTACCCAACGCAGGAGGGTTGGGGAAAAAATATATTCCCTCTATTTGCCCATGTTTTCTGGGTTTTTGCCTCCCCCCTTCCCATACTTTCCTGTATCTTCATGAGAATCGACGATGAATTGTGTCTGCGTTTGTTTCCCTCCTGATGTTCACGCTGCACAAGTATCCGTGGATCGTGGGGGCGGACTTCAACATGGAGCTGCACGAGTTGGGCTCCCTGGATTGGCTCCACTCGGCTGGCAGAGCGGCCTGCGCTCCGTCCTCGCCCACGCGCGCACCATCGACCCCAATGTCGGGCCGGGCGAAGGGGGGGGATTGGGAAAGGGGGGGGTGCGAAATCTGTCGCATGCAGCTGGTTTCGGCCCCGCCGCCGGGCCCATTCCTCGACGCATGGGCGTCTCCCGGCGCCGGGAGGCGCCGGGAAAATCAGCTACGCGAGCAGATTCTCACCCCCCCCTTTGCTATCCCCCCCTTTCGCCCGACCCGACAGTGGTAAGGGGCGCCGACACCTGGCCCGATCTGGCTGCATCGCTACCGCTGAGGGCCAGCAGCCCTCGCGCCATGTGGGCCCGCGCTTCGGCGGAGCCGCGGGGGCTTAAGAAGCCGCCGGCGCCCGGCTGCGCGCGCCCGCCGCCCGACGGGGAGCCCGCCCAGGACCTCGTCGCGCGCGCGGCCAGTGGCGAGTGTCACACCCTCTCAGGGACACATGGGACTGGAGGGTCGATAAGGATGGGAGGAGGTGCTCTCTCCAGAAGCGCACGAGAGACAGTCAAAACTCAAGCACACACACCTAAGCCAACGGGCTACGGAGGGAGAGCCAAAGGGGGAGAGGGGAGGACACGACCCGGGGCCCACTAGGGTCCTAGAGAAACAGCCGGTCCAACTCTCGTGGCTCTAACTCCGCATTGGCCTATACAGAGATACGCGGGGCTGTCCAGGGCGAGAAGGGCCACCTCATCCTCCTCTTCCTCCTCTTCTTCTCTCTTTCTCTCTTTCTCTCTTTCTCTCTTTCTCTCTTTCTCTCTTTTTTTCTCTCTCTCTCTCTCTCTCTCTCTCTCTCTCTCTCTCTCTCCTCTCTCTCTCTCTCTCTCTCTCTCCTCCTCTCTCTCTCTCTCCTCTCTCTCTCTCTCTCTCTCTATCTCTCTCTCTCTCTCTCTCTCTCTCTCTCTCTCTCTCTCTCTCTCTCTCTCTCTCTCTCTCTCTCTCTCTCTCTCTCTCTCTCTCTCCTGCTCCTCGCCTCGCTCCTCCTTGCCTCCCTCCTCCTGGCCGTTTCCTCCTCCACCTCCTCCTCGGACTCCTCAGGCACCTTAGCTTCCCCCGGGGGCGAAGACACCTTAGCGTGACGGGAGAGAGCTCGTCGAGAAGCCCCCCTCGATCGTGACTTGAGGGCGCCATTGAGGGCCCGTTCATTACAGTGACCCTCTTCGTCGATAAGACAGAGCGCACCCCTGGTCAGAACGTCATGGAGGGCGGCGCTGCCACGACTAGGATCCACCTTCGTCATTGGATCCGCCGGCATGAGTCCACGCGGCAGCCGCCTCAACTGGGAGCCCACATAGCTCAGAGAATCTCGAATAACGGCCATCTCGATGGCATTGCGGCGGCCCGCTCGTGACCCTGCACTATTTTTCGAGAGGGTGTCGAACGCGCTCTTGGCGTCGACCACGCTCATAGATGAGGCCGAGTCTCCGATCTCGCAGTCGCGCGACAGCACGACCGAAAAGGGCCCCTGCGAGGCCGACCAGTCCGGTCTCGAGACATCTCCAAAAACTGCGTCACGCCACATGATCTGCAGCCATTGCGCCTCGGCGACGGCCGCCGACAAAGAAAGAGTCTCCGCAGCAATAGTGCTCGCAACAACCCTTTTCAAACGCTGAGACCGCCAGGCCAGCAGGCTGACGCGAGCACGGCGATTCTAACGAATCGCGGCGCCGGCTGCGAAAACCAGCCATCCCGCTTGAGCTCCTCGTCTCCTCGCGGACCCGGGACCCCCCGCATCGGACACTGTCACGAACGTCGTAGCCAGAGGATCCAACCCCCATATCGCGATGTGCTGAGACGCTGAGGCACGGAGAAACTTGACCACCGCATTGGCCATAACGGCGTCCGAGATCAAAGGATCGGGAAGCGCTGCCGCGAGCAATGAAGCGCTGCCCACAACATCTGGTCGAGACTCTCGACCCAACCACTGGATCTGAGCCACGGTGGTACGATACGGGGATATCTCGGACGACGTCAGAGGGGAGCCCCCCTGGGAAGCTCTCTCGCGAGGCAACGCGATCGGGGGAAGCTGCTCGCGCACGTACTTTTCCTGATGCACGGTTATCTTCCCGCCTCGCTGCAAAACGCGCCCCCCGGCATAATCAGCCCGCCCCCCCCCCCCCACACACACGCACTTCCCGAACTCGAAGCGCTCCAAGAGGCGCTTCTTCAACCCAGGAAGCACCTCGGAGCCGGCAGAGATAATTAAATCATCCACCTCAATGAGCACGAGGGCCTGGGGCCTACCACTGCTGGCTCTCTGCAGCCATAGGCAGGGCTCGAGCAGCGAGCGATGGAATCCGATATCTCCGAGAAATCCCGCGAGGGCGCGGTGCCAAAGAAGCGGTGCATCGTTAAGCCCGCACACTGGGGCGATCAGCTCGATCAGGGTTTCACCCAGAAGTCCCAGCCCCGAGCACGCTTCTACGAAGATCGCCCCACGAGGGCGCTCAAGCCGATTGCCCTGGCAAAACGCGTTTCTGGCATCCGCAATCCCAAGAGTCCAACCCATGGAGGCGATCACCTGTAGCGCCAGCATAATGGATTCTGACTGTGGGGTTGGCGCGTAGACCTGGAGGGTCTCGCTGTCTGGACGCACCAGCGGCTCTTAGCCGTCGGCGCATTCCCCACCCCTTCGGACGGCGTCAGCCTCCGCACCATCCGCGAAGACAGAATCCTGTCCGGATGGCGGCGCCTGGCCAGGCGCGACTCCTCCAAGCTGAGGACCCGCACCGCTCCGGCGGCCGTCGTCGCAGCCCATTCCTTAGCGTCCGAGGCTTCAAATTCTAATCTCTGCTCAGGCGTCAATTTTTTTCAGCTGGACCTCGGCGCCCCGACGCGGCACCAGCGAGGCTCCCACGAGCCCCGAAAAACAATCTGGTAAATCTAGAAAAAATGAACTCTCTCCTCGGAATCGCCAGCCGAGAAAAGCGCGTCGCAAATGATGCCCATAGAAGCCAACTCCTCACACAAGACCTCATCCCTCCCGAGGCCCTCGAAACGCGCCAGTCCCAGGACTGGTTCCCCGGACACCGGATGCCTAGTCCAAGGTGGATCGGGCAAGTTACTAGCGGAAGACGCGGCCTCGCCTCGCGCCCCAGCTGGAGGCGGAGACCGACTGCGGCGGGCTTCTGCCGCCGCGGGCACAGGTTCGGTCGCCGGGAGCTGGACGGGCTTGCCCTCTCGCTCGGCAACCATTCGCGAAACACGTCCTGATCCAGCAGACACCTCCTCGCCCGGAGTCAGCCGGTCGGACTGGGACTGCCCAACCGTCGCTGGAGGCTGCCGCCCCCACTCCTCCCGAACTCGAGCCCGTCCCCTCTCGAGGGCCGTGGCATCCGCAGTAGAGTGCGTTCCTCTCCTCCGGGACTTGGGAGGAGCTTCTAAAACCTCTTCCGCCGGCCTCCGCGCGGAACGAGCGACCTCCGCCTCGACTTCCGCCTCGGAGTCCTCAACCGTGACCACGGCTGGGGGCGTGCTCGGCGACGGCTCATACAGCTAAGAGGGGGCCCCCGGGACCTCGGGACCTGACGACGGAGGACCCAACGCAGAACCGACCTGGGGAACGCCGGTCGAACTGACCGAGGGCTCTGGACCTGGGGGACCCGACGGACCGGACGGGGGAGGGGCTCGGGCCTGAGGCTCCGGAGCTCCGGAATCACCCGGGGCGCCCCGAGCCTCCGGGGGAGGGGGCCTTTCCGACTCGACGTCGACGGCCCCCGCGCGCCCCCCTGGATCCCCCAGCTCCTGCCGAAGCTGATCGAAGCGAGGATTGTCGAGCAACTCTGCGCCCAAGGCCTCCGGCCTCGTCGCAGGGCGCACCTGTTCTACCGAGCACTTAAAGAGTCGGTGCATCATCGCTACCCAAACTGTGCTTCTCGCCCGATAAATCACGGCCCCGGGACCGGTCCACCGATCTCTCTGGAGATCGTGGCTTCGACTCGCAGACGTTATCTTCCTCCACACGTGCACCCGCCCCCCCGGCTGGAAAATATTGACCACGTGCTTTCGGGCCTCAGAGGCTTCAGCAAGGCGATCGCGGGCGTCGTGGGCAGCTAGGGCCCGCTTCGCCTCTGACCTCAGTGGGTGAGCACGGGCAAATGCAGCTGCCGCCGCGTCTTGATCCACTGCGCTGGCCCGGAGGTCCTCGACCCCAATATCGTCGACCGCATCGTCGCTCAACATGGACCTCGGGGCCCGCGGGCTTTCCCCGAAAACCATCTGACACGGGATGGAAACTCCGCGATGATAAGTGCGGTTCTTTCCAGACACAACCTCACACAAGGGCAGCCCCACCTTGCCCCGACTCGCGGGCACGGCCGAGAGAGCAGCGCGAGACACAGCATTCTTCACGATGCCACCGTGTCTCTCGCACTTGCCGTTAAAATGCGGTGAGTTCGCCGGAATCACCTGGAGGTCGATTCCACCATTCTCGCATCCTCTGGAGAAACTGCTGCCAAAGTCGGCTCCGCCGTCTGACAGGATCATCTCCGGAAGACCGAACGGTCGAATCCACCACTTGGCAAGGGCAGCCCACACCGTGGCAGAGCTGTTGTCTGACAAAAGACAGCACTGCTGAAAGCTGGTGCCGTGATCCGCCATATTCAAAACTGGCAGGCTTTCCCCCTGAAGTTCGAGGTAAAAGAGACCCACCGAAAGCGGACGTTGAATCTGTAAGTTCGCGGCAAATGGGCCCGGCGCCTCCAATAGGGACGAAGGTGAGAGACACAATGAGGACAATGGAACTTGTGCCTCACCCAGCGAAGAATCTCTGGTCGAGCTCCAGCTATTCGAAGGGCCCACAGAAAATCATCGAGCATGGGGTGCCCCAGATTGACGTGGAACTTGTGGATCTCTTGTTGCATGCCTTTATCCACCTCCGGATCCCCCTCCAGTTTCCGCCCAGGGGCCGGCTGCCTCGTGGCAGTCTCCTCGTCATCGGACCCAGGGGCGCCGGCGCCGTCCGCCTCGGGGCCCCCATCTAGTTCGGACCCCCCGACTGCAACAGAACCAGGGCAACTCGGGGACTCGGGCGTCGGAGGCTCGCTGCTCCACAGCGCCGACTCGATCCCGCTCGCCAGGGCCGCCGCCAACTTGGAAGGGTAGCGTTCCGCCCGGCGAGTCCTGGCGCCCCCCTCAAGGGGGAGGTGGGAGTGTTCCCCGCTGCACCGCTTCCCACACTCCTCTAGAAAGGCACCCTTGCTCGCTAAGAAACGGGTCGGCTTCTTCGAAAGAGTTCCCGGAGAGACAGAAAGCCCGTGCATGCACTGGTCCAGGGCCCGGGAGACGACGCCGTCGGACTCGGCGATTATCTTCGCGCTCTCCAGATCCCAGGAACTCGCCGACTGGGGGTGCTCGAGAACGAAGTCTCTCCCTCGGGACAGCCGATGCAAAGCTACCTCGCAGCAGAGCTGCATGAACTGCAGCCCCTTTCGCTCGACTTCCTCCCGCTCGACCACGCTCATCCGATCCCAGTTGCCGGCGAAAGCTACACTAAGCGCTCGGCAAACTGGAGACATCGAGACGCACATCGGCTGGTCCCGTTCGATCAAGTCCCAGAGCTTCCGAACCCCGTCTGGCGAGTCAAGATCCCACCCGGTCTGAGAGTCCACTGCCTGAGAAACTCGATGCTCTCGCCGCTGGAGGAGAGCCGACACTCGAAGAAAGGAGAAGACCTCCAGGAGCACCGTGCCTCCCCGCCGGGCCTCTGAGGCCTGCAGCACACGCCTCCTCCACGCATGCTTCTTCGAGACCCCAGACCCGTCTAAAGCCTGGAGAGCAGCGTGCCGGACCTTCCTAGGAACCGCGGGGTCGGGGGTGACCTCTAACCCCCCTTCCAGGACCCGGGCAACGAACGAGTCGATCTCCACGACTCCGCCTCTTATAAGGCCATCTGAGGCCACGACTCCGCCTCCCCCCTCTTCCTCCTCGCGCTTGCTTCCGGACGTCCAGAGATCGATCGAGCACGCGGACCCCTTCTTATCGCTGGGGACCTTGCCTAGCGCGTCATTTGAAAAGCACCGCCAGAGCGGATCTAACAAAACGGAGCCCTCCGACCGCACTCGCACCCTATGAACGCCAGACGGCACCAGGGCCTTCGGAGGCCGACCGCCGCCCCGGACCAGGGCGACTCCGACAAAGAAAGCTGACTGATCGATCGAACTGAGAGTGTGCACTTCCCAGCCTAGATCGGCTCCGACCTGATCGAGGGAGACCACCTGCCCTTTCCTACGGTCCCAGACCCCTCTTCCACATCCCGGAGCGGACTGGGCCCGTCCGAACACGGCTCGATCGCGCCTGGTTTGGGTCGCGAGATCGGAGCACGATCTGACTAACGTCTGATCTTCGATCGAGCTTCCGCAGCGCGCCGCGCTGCACTACCTCTGGCCATGCCTCAACGGTTGTCCAGGTGCTCACGGAGCTCGCCTCGATGACCGGACGATCGGGCTGCCCTCGAGGTCGCGCTCCTCCCGGGCCTCTGCTTCCAGCCTCGCGATCCTGTCGGCGTCCCGGATCCTGCGCGCCAGGCTGAGCACCTCCTGA